TAAAACCGGAAACCAAAAATCTTGTTTCCGGTTTTGGATTGCCCCAGACCCTTTCTCTGGCTGCTAATAGCGCAGGCTATGCGAACGAGAATGCTTTGGTATGAAATCGAGATATCATTTAACAACCGCCTGGAGTTGAGATTACCCACTTTTTTAGTTCTCCCAAGAACAATACCCCATTACAAACATATGGTAATGAAATTGAAATATGTTAATAATAATAATTAAACTTTTGGTGATACTCAAATATACATATTATGGTTTTTGGAGAAACATATCATTTACAAACGATTTAAATTGAGAGATACTTTTGATGTCTTTTAGGTTTAGGTAGGCTATTCCGGAGATCTAAAGTTCAACAAAAAAAGAAGATCTGATCAGTTGAGCAGCACGTCTGAGATTCCAAATTGTCTCAATTTGTGCAGCAATAAGTGGTGAGAAACATTGTCAAAGGCCTTGCATAAGTCCAGATTAGCCACGTCTAACTATTTACCACTTCATATCAAGTTTTACTTTATATGTTAGCGGTCGAAGTTGGAGTAGAGAAAGCTCAATCCATATATGGTATGATCAATTCCATATTTGGTTGTAGTTGACGTAGACAGAGCTTTTCATCAATTGTTAGCTGCAGAAATCTCTCTTAAAAATTCGAGAAACCTGTTTGCCATTGATTGATCTACCTTTATCATACCCTAAATATATTTACCATATAGAATATGGTAAACTATGCAACTAAGTTTTCGTGGTCATCGCATGGGAACCCTGTGCGTAACGCTAAAAGTGTCGCCCGCCAGGTGTACATCGCGCTTCTGATTGGTCGAGCTTTCAAATCACTCGTCACTTGGAAAATGAAGACTTTTTTTAACGAGCTTTTTAACTATCATTTTTTTGTCAATATTGTAAAAACGAAACAAAAAATTATTGAAGAAATCATGGAAAAAAAGAATTAGCCTCAGTGTGAAGATAGAGGTTAGGGCATTTTCTATTTTGTTTTATTTAGTGTAGATAACATAGCTACAACATTACCGGAAAACAACCAACAAACTAGCATGACGAACGAGCGAAAAAAGTACTTGTTTTGTTCTTATGGTAAGAGTATTCGTAGTTCATACATGATATAAAATAATCATTTGAAAAAACACTTTTTGAATTCCACAATTAGACAAATCTAAGAGATTTTTGACAAAGTTTAAAGCTAAATAATATTCCTAAAATTACCGGCAAACGAGCAACGAACTAGAATGACAAACGTGCGAAAAAAGTGTACCTGTTTTGTTATTATGGTCAGGGTAAGAGTACTTTCATTTTAAATTTCATTCAATAATTTTATATCTTTCTACAGATAATTTATGTAAATATAGAATGAGTTTTAAAATTACACCAAATATTCAACTGTTTATTGAGCTTTTCGACCTTAGTAAATGATTATAAAAATGAGCTTAAATTTGTGTTGTTGTGAGATATGTTATTGTATAAAGAGCGGTACCTTTTCTTTCACTTTCAAAAGCTAAGAAAATATTTAAAAACATTTCCAAATGCCAATTTACTGACAAAGAAAATTTTATTTTGTATTTTCATTGCATTTTGCGTTATTTTCTATTTTGCCTCTTTTGTTCTTGTCAAGTATAAATGAATGTAAACTTATTATTTTTTCAAAAACTTTTGTTGTTCCTTGAAAACTGGTAGAATTGAATTTTCAAAATCTAGTAAGCTTATGTTTTAAAGCTTCTCGAAAAATATAGTTAAGACTTTTAAGAATGAAAATACAGTACTTGTAAAAACATAAAACTTTTGATATGGATAATTAACCAAACATCGTTATAAGTGTAAACGAATTAAGTAAAAGTAAGCTTATGTATTTTGCTCACCTTTTGTTTTACCAGTTTTCAAGTCTGTTTAATAGTCTTGATTTGTCCATAAAAGTTCGGAAATCTCCAAAATTTCGATTTCAATGAAAGACAACCGAGGTAAATTTCACTAAACCGGATATTGTATTGGTTTATTTGTAGTTATCTTTCGTTTTATAAGTAAAATTAACCAGGAATTCAAAGCTTAAAAAATGTCGGCCATGGAAAACTTTGTCGAAGAATCTTCCAAGAAAAAAACTAGCCCCTGGGGGGGTTGGTGGTGAGTTGTGTACAAAATTCATATAAGTGGGATCGGGAGAGTATTCTCGATGTAGTGCATTTTGATTCGTTTTCAGTGCATGCTTTTTATTATGGGAGACATTATCTTAATATTGAATAAAAAAATTGAAGATTTTTTTTCCGATTTTAATTTTATCTTCCACATTCATTCAAATTGGGCTCCCTGTGACTTGCGTATCGGGAGCTCCGCTTTTAGGCAGTGCCTAAAATATATTTAAATATAAATATAAAATAGAAATAAGATGTATTGTATCAGGAAGAAAAAGGACAGAAAAAAACATTTTAAACTATTTTTCATTCACCTAAAGTGCAATGAAGTAAGTATTCTTTTATTTTTTTTTTCTTGTAGTAAACTTACGTAGTACGCCGGCTCCACAAACTTAGTGTGAACAAAGTTTATGAAAAAATACATATTTATCAAACCAATGATAACCAACTTATAATTAATAATATTTTCCTACTTGCATTAAAAATGTGTATTTTCTCTGCATGAATCGTCTTAGGAAGGCATGTCAGTTTTTTGGCTTTGAAGACGTCGCAAGCCATTCCAGTGGAACACACTAGGTTAACGTTTTTGCCGTTACTTTCAAATAAATTAATCATCTCAGTTATAAGAAAAGATTTACCAGTGCCCGCTTTGCCTTGTATAAGAAAATTATGCCCTGCTAGTGCTTGGTCTAAGCAATACTTTTGCTCTAGTGTCAACCTAAACGGCAGAGAAAATACACATTTTTTCTTTCTGATTTTCATTTTCTTCCTAATACAATATATCTTATTTCTATTTTTTTCTATACGACGTTTTTCAAGATAGATCTGACAACTCTACGATAAAAAAGCTTTACAAAAAGGCACCGAAAATCGCCGGTTCCAGTTTCGCAAAGCCAAAAATAGGCGACGCTTCTTGATTGGTTAAAAAAAACACCCGGAAGTAAAATGCAAGACTCACGGGGTGTGGGATTGGGAATCATGTGGTAACGAACCAAAAACACTTGGAGAGGGAGGGAGAGGACTTGTTTTGGATCCCTTTTCTCGTGTTCAGGCCCGCTCGGATGCAAGCATAACTGACGGCAAATAAGTTTTCGCTAAAAAAGCCCAAAAAACCCCTCCTTATAGAGAATTTATTATCAAAACTCCTTTAAATTATTGAAGATTAGATGTAAGTACGACGTTCTGTATACTTTTTTTGTTTTCGGAGTCAAAATATTTGAACAAATTCGCGGCTTTCTCTCGTCAAAGTTTGAATTTTCCACAGGAAGCCCGTGAAGTTGCCTACCTTGTTAGTATATTGTATAGTAGAAAAACAAAATTGTTACCAAAGGGGGTAGGGGAGATGACAAAAAATCGATAGCGCGCGCGCATAAAAAGACAAAGACAAGACAACATTTAGTATTTCCTTCATTTATTAGAGTGGTTAGCCTGTGTCTTTGATGGCCACGAATATGTTTTCTGCATTTCTTTGTTTTCTTTTTAGTTTTCTCGAAGAGTTTCTTTGATACCTTTGGTTACTCTACAGCGCGCGTTTTTTCCTTGACGAACAGCATATTTCCTCAGCGTTTAGCAAAATAACGAATATCACCCCCATTTTTCATTTCATTATTCAACAAGAATACGTTGGGGCACGTTTATGCCAAGTTTGGAAATTCTGATTGCATCTTCATTTGCCCGCGAACGTCCTTAAATTTGGTATTTTGGTATTTCTTCAGTGAGGGACTTCCTTACTTCAAATTTCAAATCAAGCCGAACAAACAAATGAATAGGAAATATATAAATGTAATTATAGTCAATAGTCTATACTCTTACCAAGTTCAAAAATGTTTTTTCCCCCGAAAAACCAGGGTTGTTTTTTTGGAGGTTTGATAACCCCAAAAATATTGCTAATTTTCAAATAAATCCATTGAAAAATAATATGAAATTTCTCTCGATTGTACTTCCTGTCAAACAATTAACCGAATGAAACCTTGAAAAAAATAATAACAGCCAAGACTAAAGCCAGCTGCTATTCCTAGTTTACAGCAGGCATATAACAGTAGACATGCAAATGAGATATATAAATCCCCACTGAAGGTTATTTAAAAATGCTGGTTGTGAACTTATTATTTTCCGTGTACAATGTTTTAAAAAAATGGCATTGAAGCTAAAATAGCTTTTTTTCAAATTTATTCATGATATAATTGATGACAACAATAACATCTAAAACCAGTTGCTTTGGACAAATAAGGACCTTGCAGTACTATTATTTAAATTATTCGAAAACGGAATTATTTTACATCAAGCATTGAGTGTCGTATTTCTCTGTGTCTGTTGTCTGCGAGTCAGACCCACGAGTTAGCATAGTCCCCGTATCCTTCCTCGATTTGCCAAAGTTTTTTTTACTTGTCTTTTTTTTTCTTTTCTTTTCTTCTTCAAATTCGTTATAAAACGACGGCCTTTTTGTTTGCCGCTTTTCTGCACAATCCAAACATGGAATTGATCCTACCATATATGGAGTGAGCTTTCTCTACTTCAACTTCGAGATCTTTTCACATCTTTTGAGATGTGTCCCGTTTGTGTTATGAATAGTCGAAGATCAAAAATCTTATTGCTTAATATTTACAAATATAGCCCAATGAAAATTCAGCATTGTCACGTGGTCATGATGTTTTATTCTTGCGACTGCTTATGAAAGAGCTTCAGTTTTCTTGACAAGGACTTCGTAAAACTATCGTTTCTTGTCAGTTTGTCCTGAATTTATCGAGGCATTCACATGCAAAGAAAGTGAAAGACAACGAAAGATTTAGCTTCATTGTAAAGTTAAGATTTTGTTTTGAATGAAAGTTTACACTTGAGACGTTTTTTAATAATTTTATTGAACGATAAAATATGGCTCTAAAAAGTTACGACACTCAACAACTGATCTTGGCATCAATTGGTTTTGCAATAGTAATTTTTGGCATCGCTGGGAACTTGTTGGTGGTGATAGCTGTCTGGAAAAAGCGATTTCTACGTTCAACAACGAACTATCTCTTGGTCAACCTTGCTGTCTCAGACATTTTGAACTTAGTGTTTCTCCCATTCATGCTTCTGCAGTTGTACGCAATTTTTGAGGGAGGACCATTCGCAGATTTCTTGTGCAAATTTATTATGTCTTTTAATGTCCCTCTCACAGCCAGTTGTGTGTCGATCCTCACGCTCATTGTCCTGTCCGTGGAGAGATACCACGCCATTGTTAAACCTATGAAGGAAGGAATGAGGCTAAGAGAAGAGACTGTAAAGTATGCCATCATTACAGTCTGGTTGTCAGGGATAGCACTGAGCCTTCCTTTTTATATCTTTGGACACTACGATACTACAAAACATCGTTGCAAGCTTGTTGAAGCAGTGTACAAATACACTAGCTCAATATACTTTATATCAATAGGTCTCTTAATCCTAATCTTCGTTCCCTTCCTCATTATCAGCTTCTGTTACTTTCAAATCGTTCGTGAGCTGTACTTCAAGAGCAAAGTGGAACCACAGAACGTGGCAGCACAAGAAGACGCCCGGACTAAACGAAAACTCGTCAAGGTTTCTCTAACCGTGACTTTGGCTTATGTCATTTGCTTTTTTCCTACGGCTATTACCTTATGTTTGGGAGCTTACGACAGAGCAAAGTACGGCTCAAGAGGCTTTCAAATGGCTAGTCTTATGTACTTCTTAGAATCTGCTCTTAATCCACTGTTTTACGCCTGCCAAAGTACAAACTTTCGGCAAGCTTTTAAAGAAGTTATGAAATGTCACTGAAACCGTCAAACAAGAAAACAAACCGGTACCTAGAAATCCAGTTTTAGTAAGAGCAACGAATATATAAAAGTGAATACTAGAAGCTATTTTCTGTGCATGAATTATTTGTTTGATATTTCGATCACTGTCCAGTGATCATCATCAGACTGGAGAGAGATCGAAATATCAAACAAATAAATCATGCACGGAAAATGGCTTCTCGTATTTACTTTTTTAATACAACCATATGCCCGAACCAATATTTTAACGAAATTTTAGCTTATAAGTTAAATTTAACGCGAGTTGACGGTCCACGAGAAGTAAAAATGTTATAAATTGATTACTATCCTGTGACTCTTGAAAATAATATTCAGAATTCATAATAATATCGGCGGAAGACGATAAATGATTACTTTTTTTATATTTTGGCAGACTTGTACAAATGCAGTCGTTTGGATTCGTTCTGCATATCTTTTCCCTTTTTCATTCAAAAATTACTAAAACGAGAAGATCGAGAAAAATATATTAGGCAAATGTAAAAAAAAAAAAAAAAAAANAAAAAAAAAAAAAAAAAAAAAAAAAAAGAAATCATTTAATTTTCACAAAAGAGAAATTGTAAAACACGTTCACTTAGTAATTCAGATTTCTCGCATACGTTCTCTTCTTCTTCTTCTTCTTTTTTTTTTTGTCTTGCTTTTATGTCACGATGGTTCTAAACCTCAAAAGCCAAAAACGTTATAGCAAAACGTTATGGCAAAAACACTATTAAACAAATAAAGGCAGACAAGGCCACGAAAAAAAAAAACACACAAAAAAAAAACATGCCAACACCACAAAAACAGGTTATGTACAAGCAAAATATTAAAATTAAAACGGTAAAAAGTAAAAAGTAAAGTTGCCAAGTATTAGATACTGAGTGGTTTGCAGTTAGTGTTATTTAAATTCTTCGTTTCGAAATTCGTATAGGTAATCGTATGGGGCCGAGTATAATTAAGTATAATTTAATCCTTAATTTTACGAGGAACCGTACGATTACCCGTTTATCATATACAGGGCGAAGTTAAACGAAAATAAACTATCAAATATTTGAAGTTATGGTTCAAAATAATTTTATTCAGCAGAGTTCAGTGTGTTTCTTCATTACACATGTACTTTCTTCTATCAAACTTTGAACAATAAAACTTCAAGGTTTTCTTCTGTACAAAAGAATATCATCGATCGGCTGAGCTTAAAACAATAATTATTTTGCAGTTTTTACCTTGGATTCCGCTAAATGAAATGATAAAATCTTCACACAAAAAAGTGATTCAACCGAAAGTACGGCAAACGTAAAAAATCAAGTCAAATGCCATAAAAAGAAGCATAAAACTAGATCCCTATCAACTAAGTTTTTAGCTTGAATAAGAATCCAAAGCCGGAAGAAGCCGTTTAAAGTGACATTTAGGTCGGCGTTTTCACTTATTAATTCCAGACTGAGATGATTATTGTGCTGAACCGAATTTCCGGCTCGATGTTCAAAGGCACATGGCAGCTGGTGAAGTTGTACACAATTGGAACTACTTGAATAGCCTTTCCGAAGCCCATTTACGTTAAACATTCATCCAGACACCTGTCCCTTTTCTAGTGTTCTCATTTTCGCTTGAACTTTTTAGCTTTCTTATGGTTTCTATCGTCTGCCAATGCAAAACGGGAAAGTAAGTTACGGACCGAGTTTTCTCCACTGCTTTATGGCCCAAAGCGCGTAGGGCGCGGGTCATAAAAAAGTGGAAAAAACGAGGATCCAAACTTACGGTACGGACCGAGCAAACGAGATTAATCAGTAAAATTTCATTATATGGATGGGCATTTAGATTAAAAAGAGGCGAAGCAACAAAAAGTAAAGTTGACAGCACATGTCAAACGAGAACTGCGTTAGAAGGGCTTCTTGTACGTGCCACAAGTCATGTAGTGTTTGAGTAGCTCAAAAAGAGAGGTTTTAGTTTACTTTGAATGAATTTAGCTATAGTTTAAAGTTTTCTAAAATACTAGTTAACAAAAGAGAGGCTTTCTTTTGTAAAACATGTAAATGCAAAGCAAAAAAGGCATCAAAAGAAGATCTCAAGAACTCCACATGAGATTGAGAAGAAAACTGTCGTACTTCAAACTTCAAACTTTAGACTTCAAGATATATTCACAACCAAGATGAAAAATACTACAGCCTTCCGTTTGTTTTCCTGCCTTTTATTGGAAAAAAACCCCTCAAAATCTCTCCAGAAATGAATGAAAAGTTTTGGAAAATTAATGATTAATTAATAAATAACTAATTATTCTTGTAAATCTATCTTTATTTCATTTACTGAATTAGCCGCTATTCACCACCCTTTAGTTCGTAGTTTGACCTAGTTTTAGTTCTAGCATAGTTAGTTTTTCTAGTTTTTTATAGTCGTACAAAATCGCTCAACTAGTGCCGTGTAGAGCCTTGATCGAAAGAATTGTCGCTTGTATGATAGGTTTTACATTAAATGCCATTGCCTTTCAGTTATCTTTAATAATTTATTAAGGTTTTTTCGGCAATTTTCATCCATAAATATTTTTCATAACGAAGACTTTAATGTTTTAAAAGATAATAAGTCAGTACACTCAGTGATCCATTTCATTTTTCGGTCCGTACCGTAAGTTATGGACCGCAAATTGACCAATCATCATAGCGCATGAAATTACCTTGCCATATAGTAATTGCTTTAGCATATACCAACTTGTGTACAGAGTAACTTATTTTTATATACAATAATTCAAAAAAACAAACAGAAAGTTTTAGTTTGTGTGACAAAACTTTTAGCAAAGCTTTTAAGCAAAACGTTTAAGCAAAACTTTTAGGCCATACTTCGTTGCCTTTTTAGTATTGATAGGAATGGCATTTACTTTCATTTTTTCAATTTCCTCATCGGAAATTGTAGCAAAACGATTGCCGGCAGATGCCATTTTGTTGCCGACTCAATATTCCGAGATTCAAAGGTGAATATCGTACAATATTCACCTCCGAATAACCAATGAACTTAGGAAGTACACAAGTCGGTATATGCTAATGCCATTTATTCGTCGCGTGGGTGGAATTATATTGGCTGATGATTTGTATTCAGTCCCTTCAAGCTTTCCTACGCAAGTTGATTATCGTTCTTCTATTTAAATCGTAACTCACAAGTGCAAAATCGATCAAGATCTCCTCAATGTTTCCTTTTCAATCCTTTCCGCCTTCGGTGAGAGACAAATTGAGTTTTATTTGTAGTAGTAATCTTTAAAATTACGTTATTTGCATATTTGCATTAGCCTAAATCTCGCCGATAAAACCAGCTTAGTCATCATCCTTTTCATATTTCTTTTGTCGCAGATGTTAGCCACTATGGCAGCTTAGTCAAAACCACCAACATGCGACTCTAGAATTATAAATTAAGTTTTTGAATGATTCAAAAACAATTGAAAATCGATGCTATTACGGTCAACTAATTGTTAGTCAAAATTATGATTTCCTACTGAAACTATCCAAACTAAAGACTCGATCAAGAAAATCGAATTAGCATGCATTTCTGTGGAAGCTCAGTATTCGGTTAGACGTTCTTTATAACGCTTTTCATAATTCTGCGACCTATAGCTACTGGCGCAAGACATCAGGTGTTTGGCTTCCGTCAATCAAACTTACAACAGGTCGTGTTCGTTCCGAATTAGCCACTTTAGAAACGAGGAAGAGACTTGGGCAAGTTTTGAATTTTATCTCATTAATAAAAGAAAAACTTTTGTCATTTGAGAAAGCATCTCAACATTGTCTGGCAAGTTTGTCGTATGGAGAGAACCAGAATTTTCGGGTCTCAAAAGTGTCAAAAATTAACAAAGAATATATGGTGCCTCCGTAACCATACATTCTTTTTTTGAAAAACTTTTCAACAAAACTTGTGAAATTACTACTTACTAATATTGAGATGCTTTATCAGATGACAAACCTTTTCTGCTAACTCTATAATCTAGACTCTGATTGGCTATCATATATTCGTGTCTTGATCAGTGTCTGACCCAGTATCAAGGCACATTCACCTGACCAAATACGATGTACTGATTCGTTGCTGAGATTGTGAATTATTAATAAGTTTGAGAAGGCGATGCCATAAAAGCCTGGAACACAGGCTTTGTACGGTTTATAAGGGAATGCATTTGAGTTATGATAAATATATATAATTATAACAATAAAATGCTTCACTCAATGATTTACTCCAAAAGTTGCTGCAGTCGTTGCTTGTATCTTGCTTAGTCTTCTGGTGAAGTTTCAGCGCGATTTGGGGCGGTTTTTTTTTCAAACTTTGCTCTTCTCTCTCTAAATTAATATTTAGAGAGAGAAGATAGATCGTCATCAGTGTAATGGCCGCTTAGTACACTCTCAAAATTAATTTTTAAATTTCTTTGGCAGCGAAGAGATGTTCTTCACCGATAATTCTTGCACCTTTTACAAAAATTTTCCAGGGTTGTGTGCTGTGACAATCAATAATAACAATAACAATAACAAAAATAATCTTTATT